TGATTTGGTCTCATCAGAAATTTCAAGGAAGTACAAGGTGAGTTCGTTAGATCTCGTACCTTCGGAATCACTTGGCTTCCCATGTTTCGACCACTTCCACGTTGTACTGCGAATATCGTTGATATTGTCGCAGTCAGTGAGACGGTATCAGGAAGTGCGGGATTAGCGTGAATACAGCTGAATTTTCACAAAACTGGGATTCTTGGACTGGCCACAGCTATTTCCGTTTCGACGCGAAATTGTTGATTCCAGAGTTTTTGGCAGTGACAGCACAGTCAGGCTATTCTGGCCAGGTGAGGTGGACATAATGAAAAGAGAGCGAGTGGTTTAGACTCAGGGAGCTGCAGAACAATTGGAAATGAAGCATTGATGCTCACGTTTCGGGTATCCGCAAAGGCTAGCGTTCTCCGCGTTTTGAAGAGGAGATTTCATTTATCAATTTGATCTGCGGCTGTACCCCACAATCTGGGTAATGTTCTGAAGTCCATGACAAACAATTACTCCATCAAGCATTAGGCAGAATTGAGATGTGAATATAAGGATCCTCCTCTACAGGCAAACACCGGCGATCGATGTGGTTCTTTTTTTAGAGTGTCAGCACAGGGTGTCCTAAGAAGTGAAGCCTGACGAAAAGAAAAAGGTGTCGATCAACAGTAAATACGATTTCGCCTCGCAATCTTGAAATCTTCGTTAAAGATAACAATTTTCGATAACTGGGGACTTATCATAGCTTCTCACGATCATTCACGCTCATCACCTTGCGTAATGTTATGCTACTGTCAAACTGTTTTGCAAGCACTTCTTTGAATATTCTCAAAAGCTGCGTCTCCGCAGAAGTACATACAGTTATGATCCACGCAAACAATAGGTGGGTTTGACGGAGCATGGGTTGTAGCGCAGCCTATGCGGCCTTTTTCACATGAATTATATCATGCTGAGTTCGCAACAATTGGCGAGAAATGCTGCCTTGACTACACTCTAATCCAAGCCCCCTAACGCGTCCTATCGTTTGCAGTGATCATGGCTGCATCAAAGCCACAATTTCACGTAATCAGGAGCTGTGGAGACATCATGGTGTTGTCACCGACGATGAATACTACAAGAGCAGAACCACTTTCTTGTTATCAAATTCGGATGAGTTTCTGGACTACAGCCGCCCGACAACTCCAAAAATTGTTCACATTGGTGGTATCACTGCTCTAAAGATCACTCCACTATCAGAGGTAAGAAAAACTAAACATTCATCAAGATTGTGTTTTTGGATGGGGCACACCATCACACTGTGAAGAAATTCTCTAAAACGTGAACCCCTCGAATTCCTCCATGGTAAGACATTTTTCCCAGGGTAGTTAGACAGTTATCCGGACGTCGCGCTTAACAGTGCAGTGAAATGCGCGAAGAGATGACCCGTTTGACCTAGCTTCCCGCACAGTGAAGCAGCGGCTTACTCGCGGAAGAGGATATTACACAGTGCGACGTGTCGCTCCTGATGGCTGTGGGGATGTAAGTACGAAGAAAAGAATAGCAGCGGGGCAAGGTGAAGGGGGAAACAATCAGAAAACTTCTCCTCACGGAATCCCCCTCCTACTTGTCGTCATTCACGCAGTGGATTGAGCCCTGCTCCA